ACTTCCTCCAGCCCCCTACTTTTTCCTCTGTCCCTTCCCCCATTTATCCTCTAGGCTCTCCCTCTTCTCTCCCAGCCCCCTCCCTCTTTCCTCCTAGCACCTCTATTCTCATCCCCTTACTCCCCCCACCCCTCTCTTATCTCCAGCTTCCCCTGTCTAACCTGTCCCTTTCCCCAACCCTCTTTTTCTGTCTCTCCTCCCCAAATCAACTCTATCTCATAACCTTCCCCTCCCCTGCCACAACCTCTCTCACTGTTTCGCTCCCTTTCTTACCCCCTTGCCTCTCCTCACCTCCTACTCCCTGGCTACGTCTAGACTGGCATGATTTTCCGGAAATGCTTTTAATGGAAAAGTTTTCCGTTAAAAGCATTTTCGGAAAAGAGCATCTAGATTGGCACGGACGCTTTTCCACAAAAGCAGTTTTTGCGGAAAAGCGTCCGTGCCAATCTAGACGCGCTTTTCCGCAAAAAAGCCCCAATCGCCATTTTCGCGATTGGGGCTTTTTTGCGGAAAACAAATCTGAGCTGTCTACACTGGCCCTTTTGCGCAAAAGTTTTGAGCAAAAGGACTTTTGCCTGAACGGGAGCAGCATAGTATTTCTGCAAGAAGCACGGATTTCTTACAGTAGGAAGTCAGTGCTTTTGCGGAAATTCAAGCAGCCAGTGTAGACAGCTGGCAAGATTTTCCGGAAAAGCGGCTGATTTTCCAGAAAAACTGGCCAGTTCAGACACAGCCCCTGAGTCTTCTCACCTTTTCCCCTCCCCTCCTCCTTTCTCTTTTCCACTTTTTGTGGGGTGTTGGTATTGTCCATGAGCGGTGATGGAACTATTAGCCAGGGAGGATGCTGGTGGATATGTGATGCTGGTCATCAATCTGAAGTTGGACTGAGCCCCAGCAAACTCATTTCATAAAAGCTCCTCAAAACTTTCCATCTGCTAACTTTTCCATGTTTAGCCAGCTGGGACAAAGGATGAATCTGAACCAGTGACCTAGCAATGAGACCTATTGCTAATAGTCTAGCCCCGTTTCCTCTTTCAATAAAAAAGATAGTCCTGTCTGAATTGGGAATGCTTCCACAAGAAATGAGCCCTGTTTTCTTTAAATTGTGTATGTTCTTAAATACACAAGAAGTCATCATTGCTTTTATATTCCTCACTGCTTTTGGATTAATCATAACATTTAATTTTAGCCATAATTTTCTTAACAACAATAAATTTATTATTTTATTTAATGAATGAACTCTGCAACACCTCAACCCCAGAGCTTGGGTGTCTGGAAAACCACACTATTAAATAAATAATTACATTAAAATATGGAATCTAAAACTCAAAATCATACAAACCAAAGTGTGTGGTATCATTTAAAACAACTAGAGCCAGTTGGCAATTACTAGCTGTGTGCTCCACTAAACATCAATACAGGAACAAATTTATGAGGGGTCAGGGAAATGAGGAACAACCAACATCTACTGGAAAAAAAGATGACCAAAAAGGATGATCAAAAAAATGTGTGAAGCTATATATAGTGAAACCTGTTCAAGGGACCTGCATATTCACTAGGCACAACCATTTTATATGATTTCTTCAACATCTCAAAGTTTCCAATTTTTTTTTATTTTTTATTTTTGCTTGACCATTGTTAGCTCACTGAGGTCTGTGTAATTGGTGAATCCAGGTTTTGTTAATACACTGCCACCTAGCCAGATTAGTATTGTTAAGCATTCGGAAATCCTGGGTCAAGCTGCTAAAATCATGAGATTGACTTAAGAATAATGTGAAAATAAAAGGTCTAGGTTTTAAGAGTTTTGGGATCTTCTTATTTACCTGCAGGTTTTTGAGCCTTTACGGGTCTCATTTTCAAGCTGTTCTCTGCAGTCATGAGGGTCAGAAATGTACATTTTTAATTAAAATGGAGAATCCCATAGAATTATATGACTCCAGGATCTGGGGCTTTAAAATACCATTGCGAGGTGTGATAAAGATTCAGGTGAAGAAAAAGAAGATATAGAAAACAACAAAACAACAAAAACAATCCCCTCCCCCCCTAGAAATCACAGGTTTGGAGGTGCTCACATTGCTGACTTCTTGTACAGTCTTTATTTTGTCTTCTATCCCAATTCTGTAGTGAGCTACCCATGTGATCAGCTTCAGGGTCTTACTGCTGTTATAATCACGTTAGAAATGAATGTTATATCTAAGTTTATGTAATGCTTATCTCCTTAGTATCCTCAAAAGTTTCAGCAGGGTAGCTGTTGGTCTGTAACGGAAAAAAACAGCAAATAGTCCTGTAGCACCTTAGAGACTAACAGCTACCCTGCTGAAACTTTTGAGGATACTAAGGAGATAAGCATTACATAAACTTAGATATAACATTCATTTCTAACGTGATTATAACAGCAGTAAGACCCTGAAGCTGATCACATGGGTAGCTCACTACAGAATTGGGATAGAAGCACACTTTTTTCCTTAGTATCTGAGCACCTAAACCAGACATTGTACAGATATGAAAAGACACAATGAATCAGAAGCTCCCAGCGCTCCTTAACTTTACATAGGCTTTTAAATTTGAATGACAGACACACAGACTGAGGATGCAGAGGGGGACTGAATATATATAACATGAGATTACAGGATTTTTATTGTGGACCAGTGAACTGAAATTCACCCTTGCACAGAGAGATGTGAGTGGTGCACAGCTTTGGGCAGGCTCTTTGCAGAGGAGTCAATTTCACCTAGGGAGTGAAACCTCCCTGATTATAGAGGCCTTGGAGATGGAGGGGTACTTACCTGCCTTGTAAGGATTGGTGAGACAGTTACACCCTCACGGTATCTTGGGGACCAGTCCATGACTAGGGCCAAATGGTGCCGCCACTCAGTCATACAGGGTAAACTGTTGGGAATGTCCAACTGACAGCTTTTAGAACGTTCAAGATTGTCCTTGGCCTTGGACGATGCTAACTGGCTGCTGTGGAAGAGAACCAGGCAGCTCAGCCAATCAGATGCAAGAATGAGAAGCAACTGACTGTAGGAGAGTGGGAAGAGAAAGTTTTATCTTTTCCCAGTTGTTACCGTGCGGTGAAAATTACAGAAGCGCAGAAGAACTGTGCATGATACCCATGTCCCGTTTAAGTCTGTAGTGGGAGGGTGAAGGCAGGGTATAAAGACTTGTGTTGGTTCTCTATGCTGGGCTGTACTCTATTCCCAGTGTGTAGTGGGAAGGAGAATTTACAGAAGCAAGAGGGAAATGCCTCAGGGAAAGTAAGTGATCCCTTGAGGCTCTCGTGATTTGGGGTTGATGTGGCTCCTTCTATTTTTTAAAATCAGAGAGCTCTCTTGCAGCCTGCTTTGCTGGTGGTGGCTTCTTCAGGTGACTTATTTAAAATCTTCCTCTGCTGAGTCCAGCTTCTCTGGTTTTCATGAAAAGTTCCTTTCCAGGATGTCCTGTTTGAAAATGAGGCATGTCAACATCCTTGGTTTTGCTTTTGAGTCAAGCATATTGAGGCATTTCTTCACTGTGGACTGGCTCACTTAACTTCTGTTACCCTTGTTTGTTTTCTTCTCCAGATGCTTCTCCCTCTCTAGTCTGACTAGCCAACTTTGCATTCATCTATAGTGCTTCCCTTTTCTGTACCAAGGAGAAAGTTCAAGCAAGCAAGAAGCAGGTAATTTTTAGTACAGGCAGTCCCCGGGTTACGTCGGTCTGACTTACATCGGACCCCTAGTTACGAACTGGGGGGGGCCCGCTAGTGCGGGGTGCCTCCCCCACTGTCGCCACCTCCGGCGGCGCGGGGGGTGCTTCCCCCCAGCAGACCAGGGAGACGTGGAGCGGCTTTTCTCGCCGTGGAGGATGTGGGTCTGCTGGGGGGAACAAGACACCAGCCAAAAGGGGGCACCCCAGAGCGGAAAAATTAATTTCCTAGGGAACAGCAGGAGCAGCAGGCAGTGAGAC